TTAAATTTTCAACCTACAATTGACCATAGAACCGGAAAAAATCGTTTGAAATAGATATTTTTTAACGGTTTTCTCAAATTTGAAATGTCAAGTAAAAGAAGAATTACAATTCACTTTTGAAAAATTCAATTCTTCTGGAGAATCGCCCAATTGGCAATTGAGCCGTTAAAGTTAATCATTTAAATAAATAAATGATGTCGAACGTAAGAATTCACTGGCTGCAGTCTAAATGGGTTAATTTATTGTGTAAACAAGAAAATGTCTGTTTGAGGGGTGGAACCATGGCAGCATTTGAAGAGTATTTCGTTAATTGTGCCATAGAAATGATTTTCTGCTAAGCACGTGTGGATGAAATATTTTTATAAATGTAAATTATTAATGAATGATTTGATGGCAATTAGATGTATGCAGGAAGCTTAAAAATGAACTAATGAATCTCGATGCACGAAAGTAATTAGGTAAATTTCAATCCTCACTTCTAAATTCATCAAATTTGCTTCATGGACGAAACTAATTTAGGGATCGATCGCTTATGATGTGACGTCCAAAATTAACGATCATTTTTCAAAAGAGAACAATGGATTTCCAGGAATTTCTATTGTTCTTTTCATGTTGACTTCCCCCCCCCCCCCCCCCCCCTAGACGTCATAAGAGAACGGCCCATAAGATCAATCTATTAATTTAAAATTCACACAAGGTATGACTTTCAATTTATTCTACTTGTGTGCGTCGGTCGCATGTAATTTTGCATGCACGCCAGGAACTGCAAAAATACTTTATAAAAAAAACTTTTTAAAAAAACTACGTTTTTCGCGTAGACTAAAAAGTAGAAAATAACTTTTATTCTTGGTTGTAAAGAATTTGGTTTTAAATTTTCAGATTATATTGAATAAATTTTTATATCCTAGTCAATATTGTTCACAAAGTTTCGAATAAGTGCACTTTGATCTTATCGTATAACTCAACAACTTAAAAACGTGGGCGCATTATAAGAGGAGAAATAAGTTTATGTGAAATCAATACTTTATGATAAACTTAAATTAATGCGCCCACGTTTTTAAGTTGTTGAGTTATACGATAAGATCAAAGTGCACTTATTCGAAACTTTGTGAACAATATTGACTAGGATATAAAAATTTATTCAATATAATCTGAAAATTTAAAACCAAATTCTTTACAACCAAGAATAAAAGTTATTTTCTACTTTTTAGTCTACGCGAAAAACGTAGTTTTTTTAAAAAGTTTTTTTTATAAAGTATTTTATTTTCTACTTTTTAGTCTTATTCTAATGATACAGAGAAAAAAAGATTATAGGGGGTTTATAAGTTACAGGTGTGTTGAACTTCACTTCGTTGCACTTCGTTACGTTCAACTGTTTATAGATTACAGTAGGTTCATAGGTTACAGGTGTGTTGAACTTCACTTCGTTGCACTTCGTTACGTTCAACTGTTTATAGATTACAGTAGGTTCATAGGTTACAGGCGTGTTGAACTTCACTTCGTTGCACTTCGTTACGTTCAACTGTTTATAGATTACAGTAGGTTCATAGGTTACAGGTGTGTTGAACTCCACTCCGTTTCACTCCGTTTCGTTCAACTGCTTATAGATTACAGTAGGTTCATAGGTTACAGGTGTGTTGAACTTCACTTCGTTGCACTTCGTTACGTTCAACTGTTTATAGATTACAGTAGGTTTATAGGTTACAGGTGTGTTGAAATTCACTTCTTTGCACTTCGTTACGTTCAACTGTTTATAGATTACAGTAGGTTTATAGGTAACAGGTGTGTTGAACTTCACTTCGTTGCACTTCGTTACGTTCAACTGTTTATAGATTACAGTAGGTTCATAGGTTACAGGTGTGTTGAACTTCACTTCGTTGCACTTCGTTACGTTCAACTGTTTATAGATTACAGTAGGTTTATAGGTTACAGGTGTGTTGAAATTCACTTCGTTGCACTTCGTTACGTTCAACTGTTTATAGATTACAGTAGGTTCATAGGTTACAGGTGTGTTGAACTTCACTTCGTTGCACTTCGTTACGTTCAACTGTTTATAGATTACAGTAGGTTTATAGGTTACAGGTGTGTTGAACTTCACTTCGTTGCACTTCGTTACGTTCAACTGTTTATAGATTACAGTAGGTTTATAGGTTACAGGTGTGTTGAACTTCACTTCTTTGCACTTCGTTACGTTCAACTGTTTATAGATTTCAGTAGGTTCATAGGTTACAGGTGTGTTGAACTCCACTCCGTTTCGTTCAACTGCTTATAGATTACAGTAGGTTTATAGGTTACAGGTGTGTTGAACTCCACTTCGTTGCACTTCGTTACGTTCAACTGTTTATAGATTACAGTAGGTTCATAGGTTACAGGTGTGTTGAACTTCACTTCGTTGCACTTCGTTACGTTCAACTGTTTATAGATTACAGTAGGTTTATATGTTACAGGTGTGTTGAACTTCACTTCTTTGCACTTCGTTACGTTCAACTGTTTATAGATTACAGTAGGTTCATAGGTTACAGGTGTGTTGAACTCCACTCCGTTTCACTCCGTTACGTTCAACTGTTTATAAATTACCAGTTTTCAATGGGAAATTAGTAACGACTTTCAAAATTTTTTCTTTCGTTTTATAAAATTTAATTTTTTTAAAGCATTCATTAGTGAAGTACATTAAAAATCACTCGTAAAGATTTTGTGTTTATCTGTACCATTTCTACTTCATAACGTGTGGATTCTTAACATAAAGATGCAAATTACATCACATATGTAACGTATTTATAACGGATTTTCAAATTTAAATTCAATGAATATCATTTATATGTTATGCAAAAATACGTCAAGCCGTTAATAAAATGAAAAGTCAATTTAATTAAGTTGGTGAAGTGTTATAAATAATGCAATACATTTAAAACAGCATAAATTTATGCTCAAACTATGTGTGGTAAATGCATATCTCATATATATAGTTATTTTGCATTAATTCGTAACGTATTTATTGCTTAACGGTTTTTTTGAAAATTCAAATTTTCACTTACGAATATTCATGAAAAAATTACATGTCAATTTTTTTGTCTTACCAGAATATCTTTAGCTGCTCAAATTTATGGTATAATTAATAATTAGTAATAATTTTTAAACTATAATGAATCATATAAATGACTTTTGAGCATTTCAAGTATAATATTTTAAACAAATCAAAATTTCATATCATTGACATTGGAATTTTTCCCATATAAAAAAGTTTTACATAAATTGTACTATAATTAAGCATTTTTGTGTTTCCAAAGTGTTAAAATATTGTATTGTCACCGGGAATACGTGTGCATTAAAAATTTAAGCTCGATTGGAGCAGTAGAAGTGGTCGAAAAATCGATTACAAAAGTACGAAATTTTGCGGACAATCAATCAATCAATCAATCAAACAGATAAGAAAGCAAGTTAAGAAAAACGTAGTAAAAAGTCACACACATAAACTTGAATAAAGAGAAGAAAGCAAAAAATGAATTTTTATTCATTATCACGAGTCAAAACGTGACAAATCATAACTTTGCTATGACAAACAAAAGGTATAAAGAGAGCAACAGCATAACATTATGCCATCACTGTAAAAAATTTGAAAATACGAACAGTTCGTGTGTATAATGATGGATGGGTAGTGGATGGAAGGGAAATAAATTGAGAATGGAATATTTTTGTGGCATCAAATGAATAAAAGACATGAATTTCGATGATAAACCTTAGTTCCTCAAGTAACAACAGCTGAATTTGTGGATGGGTAGAGATCTCGAGATGGACCGAAGAACTCATGAAATGGCTGTGTAAGCAACGATGCAATAATGTGTGAAGGGTCAGCCTTTGAGCTGGAGGCACTGCGATTCAAATTAGAACAGAATCTATTGTACCACAAGCAACGATGCAAATGTGCTAGAAATTAGAAACTGCCAGAAGTTGTCTAAGGATAGAGCCAGTTTTAGACGAACTCTGATTGCGGTAATGGGACCACGTGCGCCTTAGCCAAGGAAGTAACCTAAGGATATCACCTTAATGCTCGTTTACTTATGGCGTCTGCCCTCTCTATCTGCCACAACAATCAATTAAAAATATTCATTTTGTTTGAACTGTTCCAAAACCCTAGTTCCTGTTGTACATAAGAGAATTTGAATTTTGAATCATTTTGATTCTTTAAAAACTTGAACTTATTCAATTAATCAATTCCTATAAATGGGAATTTAATAATTCGAATTACATACGTGCTGATAATTGATATTACACAATGCCGATTAAAATAAAAGAATCAATTGAGACTATCGAACCTGCCTGGTATTTTTAAAAAGAGATGAATCTGTTAATTCAAGATTAAGGACTTTATCAATAGATCGAAAAAATCTCTCTTTTGTAAAAACGTAGGTTCGAATCCCACTTTAGGCTGCCAAATCAAACAGCTAAGAGTAGACGTGAAAACATAATTCTCAGTATGACATTTAAGACTTCATTCATCCAAGAGATTCCTTTGTCGTAAACCTTTGAATATACTAAGTGTTCAAAAATCTTAGTCAATAAGACACAATCCTAAATTCATAGAATAAATAATTTAAAAACCTTTTATTATTCCTCTACTTTTAAGTAAAGCCTCGTCCAAGTGACAACTACATAGATTATTATTATTTTTACTTAAAGTAAATTTCGTTAACAGGAATTCTTTTGGATATTAATCAATTAAGGACACCAAGTATTTGGAAAGGTACATAAAGTGGAATGTTTGATTCTATCAAATCTACATTAAATATTGGAATTGATAATTAAGTTTCTTTTAAAATTGGGATTTAAATTTGAGATGGAAGTGGATTTATAGAGTATTTATTCCTTTTTTAAATTTTAAGGATCAGATGAACTTAGTTTTTCTATTTTGTGCATTAATTCTTTGAATAAAGTTGTAGAACTAAACCATAAGTTGCTCATTATCAACTTTAAATTTTTATGGTTTGTAATATTGAATTAATTAAGTGCAAGACTTAAGTATGACTTTAAACCAACTCATGACATATCATTTCTCAATTTTTCAAAAACTTAGAACATTAAAAAACATTTTTATTATCCCAATCCCTTCAGTTCTTCCGAAAAATCCATTAAATTCTCAGTTATCAAAATGTTGATCCATCAAACCATTTAATAAGTTATTCCCCATTAATCTCATTAAATTTTATTATAATTTAAAAATTCGCAAATATAAAAATGAGTTCTTTTGGCTTTATTTCTACTCTTCAGTCATTCGTTCACTTCTGTGAAACAGCAACAAGTCATCATCAAGCTCAAATTTATCGTCAGAATTGTCCAAAATGCTGACATTCTCATCAGTCGTTGATATGGATGATGATACCTTCCTTTTATTATTCATTGGACCATCGGAATCGTTGTCATTATCAAAAAGTTTGGAATTTAATTCGTGCTTTCCTTTATAATCATAATTTATCTCATCTGTCCATTCCATCTCGTACGTATAATGGTACCAAATGATTAGTGCTATAAATACCAAGAACATTAAGTTAACCGTTATTCCCACAGCCGCAGATATGATAGGAAAGTGATAAATTATGTATCTTAATCCACTAAAGTGTGCGCAAATTTCGAGACTGACTGTATAAAATTCCACAACTCTTGATTGAATTTCCACGTAAATGTCTGTGACTGGATTTGTTGTGTCCACATAATCCGTAAACATTTCAATGTCCAAAGTCTGCTTCTCTTCATCCCAGCCAATTAAATAAAATGGAATTAAAAGTAAAGTCTTTAATTTGTGTAGCCACGGAGATCGATAACGAAGCATTGTTGATCGGCATGCATGAGACTTTAAGACATGATCTTTATCCTTCATATCCATGCATAACATAAACATTCCAAGTTCTTGATTTCTTGGCGTTTCTGGTAGTTCCAATTTAAGTGTTAATACGTAAGGCTGACCGACCATCATGAGCTGCTTCTTATTTAATTGTAAATGAGCTTGTGGAAAGGAATGATATGAAGATAATGAACTTCCAGCGTCACATGTCGCTGTATCGGAATCACAAATTTTATTATATTGCATAAATGCCGGTTTAACTTGAATTACTGTCGGCATATAAAGTAAGTAGAATAGAACATAAAGAAGTATAGCTCCAAATACACAGAGAATGAATATAGCTGCAGCTGCAAATAACTTTAGAATTGCATTTTGTGTCAATTCAAATTTGTATTGTGTTTTAGCTTTATACTCTTCAAATGCTTCAATTAATAGTTTAGCTAATGGATTAAGGACAATCTTCCTTACTATCTTGAATGGATCCACAATATTCATAAAGATATTGAACATTCCCTTTAAAAGGCCAAAGTCTATCATGGTTGTCTGTAAAAGATCGGAATTACGTACTCGCTCCGTCATTTTAAGTTAGTATGTATGTGCTGTCAACTGTGTTGATAACGACGATACGCATGTGCTTGCTCACATTAGAGGAAATTATCTACAAATATTAAATTTAAAAGTTGTGTTGATAAGAAATCTTTTTCAATAATTCTCACCGATTTAAAGCTTGATTTCTTATAACTTCATAAGAACCTTCTAGTTTGTGCTTAATATTACTGTCCCTGATGATTAAATATGCTCGTTTTCGACGATTTACTTGGGGAATTTAATTAAAAGATTTTTCACGCAAATAAAGGAATAAAAACAATACAGGGTGTCCTTAAATCTGTACAAATGTTTCATGAAAATAATTCGTGAGGTTCTTAAAGTGAATTTAAATTTTAAAAAGTCGTTAAATAACCGGCATTTATATTTTGATTGACAACAATTTGATGGATTAGAGGCTGCAACAAGCTTAATAAGCAAAACAGAAATCATGTCTGAGCAAATGCAATATATATTTCTATCGTCAACGTCACAAATAAGTTACATGCCATTTAATATGCTTGTTTTCTGGCTCCTTCTTTCGCTAGCTTGTCAGCAGCTTCATTTCCATGATATCCACTATGAGCAGGTACATACGTCCATTTAATGATTGTATTACCAGAATCTAAAAGCTTATCTAAGACTATAAAATCAATTTTATTTGCGACTTGCTTTCCTGTGGCTAGTTTCCAATCATTTTTCTTCCACGAACTCATCCATTTACAGACGGAATTAATAAGGAACTGAGAATCTGTGAATATATTCAGTCGTGGAATCTTACAATTTTGGGCCTCCCTTATAGCCTTAATTGAAGCTTGTATTTCTCCTACGTTATTTGTAGCTCTTCCAGAAACCGGTTCTGAGGCATTTAAAGGATGATCGTCACCAAAATAAACTCCTAATCCAGCAATTGCATGCTTCTTGCCGTTATTCTCACATGAACCGTCTGTAAAGACCTGAACAAAGCCACTGGAATCTACATGAAAGTTATAATCACCGTATTTCTTCATATTTGGACTCATTGCTACTGAGTCTACTGACTTTTCAATCCCATCCATTGACTTAAACTTCTTTATTGGCGGTTCTGAACTTTCAATCAGCATATCTTCTTCTTCTAGTGCTTCTAATAATACTTTTTCAATTTCTTCTTGTTCTTTCTTTTCTAAATTATTTAACTGGCGCTTTGAACTAGTTCCATAGTCAGCTAGTACATTACTTTGTGTCTGATTTTGTTTAATAAAATTTTCTGCTTCATTTAAAGTTTTAAACTTTTTAAATACAGCTCCACTGAATCCTTTCACTTGCTGTTGACATTCTGGCCATGTTTTGAATATTCCAGGACTTTTGCCTTTCGCTACAGCATAGAACATTGCCGGTAATCTCTGTCTAAGTAGATTTAGCATTAATTTATTTACTGGATTTTGGTAAAACGCTTTTTAAAGGTTCAACTGATGATGAATTCTTGTTATATTGCTATCTTTTGATGTATTATGCTAGGAACTATCGATTTTATTGATTATAATCTGTTGATTTACCTCTACTTATAGTAGAAAAATTGAATTAATAATTTTTTTGCGAAATAAAAATAACAATAACAAAACAGGGTGATCAAAAACGATACAAATGTTTTGATTTTGTATAATTTGAAAGGTTCTCAGATGAATTTGAATTTTAAATGACAGTTGAAACTTAATCAAAGTCATATAAATGTTTCTTTTAAAACTTTTGGAAGGTTTTTAACATAAATTTGAATTTTTGATGAACGTTAAATAACGGTTTATAAGATTTTCGGCCATGCTGACAGTTGATTCAATTAATGAGTCATTGAAAAGAGTGTATTTACATCAGGAAGACTCCACACGTTCAATAAAAAAATTAAGTATGTCTATTTCATATATATTTGTCATCATCAACCTCACAATACATTTTTTCAGCATTCAATTTTATAGATTACAGAGATACATTTAAGACTATTAAATATATATTAACGTTAATATAGTTGAATTAACAATCATTCATATATATATGACAACTAGCATAGTTATTGTATTATTATCATCAGTAATATATAATTAAAAACAGTTAGAAAACTTATATTATTACTAGTTCTGTGTCTGTAAGATATTGGAGCAATTAAATTCATCATTTTTGGAGGTGAATTAGATTTGGTTGGTGTCACCATTATTTCTCATATGCCAGTTACTGTATCCGCAATATGCACATGTCTCATTTCAGCCTAAACACGCGAATACCAAGAGATTTAGAAGCTGGTCGTTATTCAACTTTTGACGCCATATTACTCTGCTTGTTGGATCGTAATCGAGCAAGTCCACTAGCATCCTCTTCGTCTGATGTGTAGCTTATAGCACCAGGTCTCATTGTTGATGTTGCTTGTAGCAATTCAGCGTCTGGATTTTGACGATTTTCATATAAAAGTGTATGAAGAGTTTCCTCATAAATTCTGGCCTCTGGAAATTCAACTTTTGTGTGTTTTTTATCCGTTGAATAGACAATACTTGTACAACAAACTTCAGCTACTCTCTTGCCATTTCCATAAAATGACCAACAACAAATCTCACTGGATCCTATAACATCTTTTATAAAGAGAATTCGTCCAGAGAATCGTAAACTGAGCTTATCAAATAATTCAATATTCTTTAATAAATTGTCATCGCTTGTTGTCGTATAACTGTACTTGTTATTGTGTCGATTAATCAGTAGCTTTATAGCTGGTTTTGTACTTGATGTTATAAGGTAATTTTCCTCAGAAGAAGAAGTAATTAAAGGAACACGACAAATTGGCTGAATTTCTTTCTTTTTTATATCCAGTGCACGTTCACACGATTCCGCTAGTTCCTCTATACAATAGTATTTAGACTCTGCTAGCAATTCTGCAAGTGATTTTGATGTTTCTGGCAATGAGACACTTCCATCCCGTAAGAAGTTTAATATTGTACCAAAGTGCAATCCACAACGATCTATGAGGACCTAAAAACAGACATGGATATGACTAATCAAGTATTTCTGACTCACTGGATCTGGAATTTTAAGTGGAAAACACTCGACAATTGATATTTCTATATATAATCTCTTACCCATCCTTCGGAATCTGTTAAAACTTCCAATTTTCCTGAGAACATCGCCCTAAGCATACAATCTGCTTTTGTTAAAGTCCTTATTGTAGTATAATACAGAAATCCTGAAAATAACATTTAGTTTTGAGTTTTTCGATAATTTTACACGATTCTTCAGACTTATTTACCTCCTACATTCAGCTTTACATATTGAGACGGACTTCCTTTGATTACCTGATTACGTTGATCTCCCATTATTGTGTATAATATTGACTTAAATGCGATTAATTAAGGTTTTTTTGATAAGTGAATTTTCCAAATACAAAAAAACTAGTATACTATACAGTCACTCGAAGCAGACGGGAGCGCATTCGTTGTACAAAGTACTTAAGATTTAAATTAAGCTTTTAATTATAATTTGAAAGCTCGTCAGAAATATTTACAAAGTACTGGTAAAGCAATATTTGAAAAAATAAAACGGTAATCAATATTTGAAAAATATCCTCAAGACAGTCAGACAAACAAAAAATGTATTAATTTTTCAATGTAATGAGCTTAAATTCGAATTTTATTTGGTCGTTAAAAGCTAGTTTATCGTAGCTTCTTGTCTCTCTGAATTTATCGCACACTTTGACACCCCAGAATCAGTAGAATCACCCTGTGTCAACTATTTTTGATTTAAATCTCCTTTAATCTACTATAATTAATTAAATAATGTCTTACGAAAGCGTCGTTCTTATAAAGCAGGAAGTCTTTGTCTATAAAATACCACCACGTTCCACAAATCGAGGCTATAGGTAAGGAATTGTGATTTTTGATCTTTTAAATAATTTTTTTACAGTCATCCTTTGTGTATTAACATTTCCTTATCTCCAACTTCCCATAAAATACACATAATAATGCTTGTTATCTCAATCCATAGCTGTTTTGTGGTTGATTCGCGCTAGAATGTCAGTGCCTCGCAGATTTTTCTCACGAGCTTAATATTGATTTTTTTTTTATTTTTGTTGTCGTCACTGTTTTTATTAAAATTCCTTTCTATTGCCAATAACTTAATAGTGCTGTATTAATGAATTTCAAATTTTTATCTATTTCAGAGCTGCAGACTGGAACCTTAATGAACCAACATGGAACGGACGGATGCGAATGGTAACATCCGGAAATGCATTAAATATTAAATTGGAAGATAAAGTAAATGGACAGCTATTTGCGAATTGTCCTGTTGAGGCGTATCCAGGTGTAGCTATAGAACCCGTTTCAGACTCGTCACGATATTTTGTATTAAGAATTCAAGACGATAATGGACGATCAGCATTTATAGGAATCGGTTTTGGTGATCGATCAGACTCATTTGACTTTAATGTTGCACTACAAGACCACTTTAAGTATGTAAAAAATCAAGAGCAAATTGAAAAGGAGAAAGTTGAACCAAAACCACAACTTGATCTCAGCTTTAAAGAGGGTGAAACGATTAAGATTAACATGAAAATTACTGTAAGTTGATGGAGCTTAATTAGAGCATTTTCCTGAAAGGGAAATTTTATCTAATGTTGATTTTCAAATATTTGATGACTGCTATATTTTGCTTCCGTCGTTTAAGACTATCAGTTAATTAACTTTTGTATAATTTCTGTACAGAAAAAAGACGGCAGTGAGGTCTCATCACGAACTGCCAAAAAAGGTGCTGGATTGGGTAAGTCACATTTACATTTTACGTCCAAAATAATTGTACATTAATTTATGATAATTTTACGTTCAGGAATTTTGCCTCCACCTCCAAAAACCGAAAAGAGTCCAACGGCTCCAAATAGTGACTACGGGGATTTCGTGCAGGCAGCTGCAACGTCATCAAGTAATCCACAGCAGCAACAACAGAGCAACTCAAGCTGGGTTCAATTTTAAAATAATCAAAAGTAATATAATCCGCAAATTTATGCTTTTAAGTGATGAAAAATGGATTTTTAATTGATTCTCTTGATTTTTGAAATGTGAATAATTCCTTAAATTTATTATTTTTTATATGATTTAAATGAAACAAAAAGTTTATTACGAATTTTGCCGAACTTGTGAATGAGAAATTTAATGTTAAGTTTATTTTTGCATATTCCCTCATATATATTTAATCGAACCCTATTAGACATGAATCAGCTACGTACAGGCTGATGACTGAAGCGCATTATGCAGTGATGGATATCAAGAGTTATGAAATTAAGCAGATAAAATGAAACTAATACTTCAAAACAGATTGTATTGGATCTTCATGTGGGCGTAATATTAAATTATTAAGCGTATTTCCGGAATTAGCAGCTCAAATTAACAACAATCAAATGATAAACGACTCAAACTAATACAAGAAAGTGATAATATTGTGTATTAGAATTTAAACAAATTAGTCATTCTTAAATTACGGGAATCAATGCTACTTCAAATCTATGCTGAACTTGATTTTGGACGCAAAGAAATTCTAAATCTAATCTAATGACAGAAAATCGAATGGGACTCGAACGTGAGTCTTAACGATTTCCGATCGAACACTTACTCCAACCACTGAGCTATCGAGGTTTACTTGACTTTGCATTAAAACTGACAAGCTATTTTATATTTCAAACAGTTCAGTTGATTCCTTCGGAATCAAACCAATAATTGGTAAGATCTGATCATTCACTTCATGATCATTCTTGCCACTAATCCTTCGAGGGACATTGCCTTCTCATAACGGCTAGCCATCATAAAAATTCTACAAAAGGGACGAAAGGGTCTAAAAAAATTATTTGAATAATTAAATCAATGGACGACTCATTTAAATCTCGTAGCCAATCAAAGAAACTACAAAGTACATTCTATCACTCAAAATGCAGCATAAAAATGATAATAACCAGCATTCATTATTTTTGATTACGTTAAGCAAATAATTTCTGACTAAAATCTAAGTGAAAATAGCGAGAATGCCACTCCAAGTGACATCCTTGAATATGTTAATCTATATAAATAAAATAAAAAAGTAATAATGATGAAAATCCTTAAAAAGTGAGTGTTATAATGTAGATGAGAAAACTTGCGCGTAAATTATGCTGAATAATTCATAATAGCGGAATGTTTTATAGTGATTCCCTTAGATTCTCATAGCTTCATTACAATTTCAACTTTTATTATTCATTGTTCCTGAATTTCTAATAGAATAAGTGAAAGGTATATAAAAATAATATGTAGAAGAAATTTTACGATTTTTCTTGCAAGAGCTACAAGACGGAATGCCAATAATTTGCAATCATTCAATTTGTATTTTCCTGTTCGGTTCGCGTGATGATGTTAAAATAAACAGTCATCATGTCGATATTTCTTTATTTTTATACTTTTTTTTTCGTTCGTTCCAATTATAATGTATGTAAACGAAAGTACATGTTTAACATAACATAAAACAATGATAAAAGTAAAATAATAATACATATATGAGGATAATAATAATGATGATGATAAAAAACTATATTATAAAGTTGTTATTTAATGTTGACGAATGAATCAGCATATAAGATGATGAAGAAGAAGATGATAAACAATTAAGTATAATAAATGAAAAAAAAAGTATTTAGACACATTATGAGGCCTATAATTTTGCTCATTTGTATTACTTTGGACAGCAAATGAGACTCTGAAAATGACTTAACTTCCTTATCACATGTAATTGATTGTAAATGATCTTCATGGGAGAGATCTTAGTGGGAACAAAAATCGGTATGTATTCAAATTATTTTTTATTATTCTGTATTATAAAGAGAACCAAATGTATAAACCGCAATATGCCTACGATCATCATAGCTTTAATTATTATTATCATCTAAAGCCAGTGCTGCTCAATCTATGTTTCGCGTTACGTGCCTCGAAAGTCCATCAAAAAAGAACTTCTAGTGTTTAAAAAACTGGTATGAAAATGCTTAAATTACAAAATCGACCATTACGCAGCAGCACCAGTAGATTGCAAGCTCTAAGAAGTTTATAAAAAAATTGAAAAAATTCTTGCGATGCTCAAAATTCTCTTCGCCAATACTATGGGTCCTCGATTTGAGTAACGAAAATTAATGAATAGAAACTTTAAAATATTTTTTTGGAACGGGCATTTTTGATACAAAAAGTAAAAAATTCGATTTGAGCTGATTTGAATAGATTCGATTTGAACAGGATTTTTCTGGAACAAAACACTTTCTCAAATCGAGGACCCCTAGTATAAATTCAGTTATGTACAAAGACAAAGCACAAGCCTGACAAATTGAAGCAGAGAACTGCCACATAAAAGATACATGAAGTTAAAAGCAATCATTCCTCAAAGGAGCAATAAAATTGGAAACGAATCAAGACTGAAAAGTCTAATCCGAAGAAGCCTAACCACCTTTCCCATAGAGAGACTTCAGCTTACTTCACCTTTTCAACGCATTATCTCAAAATAAATTCCGCCTTCTGTCATCCTTACCATATGATTTAAAAGTAACCGCTTATTTTTAGACCGTAAATTTTGAACCTTTCCCAACATGTTCAACATCTTTCTCGTTATTCCTTAATCATTCTGAAATATTTTTTCTTTGTGTTCATCGCCCACTCGAAGAGGAAAAAAATGAGGTAAAGTACACATTCGTTTAATGACAATGTCAGCATATGATTGCCTTATGAAATTTTTATCAAGCTTTTGTTGCTATGCTTTCAGCAGTCAAGAAAGAAAAAGAAGGAAAAAAGTTCTTTCGTAGGTGTTCTGGTTGATGTTCTTTTGAAATGCCAAAATTTACTCCTTTACATAGGGTCAAGCAGGGGCGTAGCCAGAAAATTTTTAAGGGGGGGGGGGCCCATTTTCGAAAATAAAACCGTTATTTTGTATCCTTAAATCTGTATTCATTCTTCATAAGTTTAAATATTTAATTCATTATTCATACATTAAATTTGATTTTTCGTGCTGATTTTGACATTTCTTTCATCACTTCCTCTACATTAACTGGTTCTTCTCTATAAATACTTAATAAAACAATTATCAGATTTTCGTATGGGGGGGGGGGGGGGGCCCTGTGGCCCCCCTGGCTACGCCCCTGGGATCAAGTATATAATGTACAGACATCCATGCATAGATTGAAGGAGAAAGTTTTTCTACGTACCGACGTTTAATGAAAAGAAAATTTTCATCCCAAAAAAAATATTCTTTTTTTAATTCAATACACGTAATGTGTAAAGTTCGGTCTATACTTCTTTCAATTCATTTAAGTAAATACCTTAAATGTCAAAAATAGAAAGCATATCGAAAAGGCCACATCACATGAGCGTAAGGTGCTGGATAATATAAATTCAAAAATATTACAGCACTCTATAAAATTAAAAGGTCGCTGATAAATTGATAATTCAATTAGAAAATTAAAGAACATTTTTGTACTGTGTGGGAAAGTTGAAATTACATGATGAATCAGCCCCATTTTCTGTAAAATGTTTTTGAAGTTTATATTAAGATATCTATTAAATAAATTATAAATGTGATAAATTTAAAAGCTTTTCAAAGCATTTCAAGCTTTGAGCCTTGTAGCAATGCTCATTAAAATTGCCAGTTAATTGAAAATGGTTTTCGAATTTCAAGACATATGTTCAAGGTTTCATAACCTGACTTATAAATAGAAAATTTTAAGAATTTAAATGAACTTCTGCTGTCGACAATTTGAGCAAGCTTTCTTCGCCTTAAAGTCAAACAGAGCTGCTATACAAATTATTGGCTGGTCTCACATTTCAATCTATCTATGAGATAACCTGTTTTCTAGGGTTGATTTGATTTAGGACTTTTTACAAGTAATCTTGCTTCCTCTTTGCTGTAATTTTAAAGGACTTAAAAAAATTGACTTCACTTTGGGGCCGTTCACTTATTACATTACGCACAAAAACAAAAACGACTTTTTTTCACCCCCCCCCCCCCCCCCTCCTCCCCTTGTTACAATATGTTAAAAACTCACAACCCCCCCCCCCCCCCTGAACGCTCATAATTTATTTTATCATTAAAAAGGTGGAAAATTTAAACAAATTTTTTTCGTGAACTTTTTTTTAAAAGATAGACTGCAGTTAGAACGTTACATACTTCTTGCAGCCCCCACCTCCCCTCTGTTACATTTTGTTACAATTTTTCAAACCCCCCTCCCCCCTAAAATGCGAACGTAATAAGTGAACGGCCCCTTTGCGTTATCAATAAATCCAGATTCAAGGACCGACTCTTAGATTAACACTGTCAAATCCAAGGGTACAAAACTGATAAATTACATTTTGATCAATTTTTATCAGTTTCGTACCCTTGGTCAAATCAAAATGTACCAAAGACCAACACTTATTGAATGCCAAGCATTAAAGAAATCTTATTAAAAACAAAAAATCTAAGCTTGAAGCTAACTCGTTCATAAGATGATCTCAAAAGTCCAAACTTAATTATTAAGTCTCCGCATGTAGCACTAAAAACTTAACCTTAAAACATGAAAGTATAAAATCATTGCTTAAATGATATCAATAAAAGATACTCAAACGCAAGTACGTAATTTAAAGAGGTAGAAAAAAAATCTCGTCCACAGATTTTTATCGAGATAAGTTTTTTACAACGTTTACGTTTTCATCCTTTTGCCGTAGCAATTGACTCACTTTTTTATCCATCGTACGGATGAGGAGAGAAAAAAATTGTGCGTATGTGGTATGAAATTAATTCAATTTACTGACAACAGCAGCAAAAAAAAAAAGAGAAGAATCCATTTGAGCCTTCATGTCACATAGAATTGCCTTGTATTGGGGTCCAATTTTTGCAAAATTTTCACTCATTAAATCTTGAATAGGATGGAAAAAAAGGTATAGGGGAGGTACAAAATTTTGCTACTTTTTTTATAGAGATTTAATTTCACTTTTAT